ATATGGTAGACATCTTGGAAGCAAGCAATAGAAACCTGTTGCCTTTCCAGTGATTCAAGCAATTGCGCCTAGTTACCCCGGCTTCGAAACATTTTTTCTATATATGCAGGGTGACGCAAAAGAGCGTCTACTGCTTATACATATTGAATAATACAATATTTCTCAATTAAAAAACCTGAGCGCATTTTATTTATACTTCATTTTACAGATTTCACGTAGACTTTATCTCTTATGTTCTTTATGCTATACCATTTGCATCTAAAAATACATGATATCGCCTAGGCCCTGATCGATTTACCTTAGCAAATAACTCAGCGCTGTTTGCACATGTTGGCATAACGAACCGTCGTCCTGATGTGACTCGGCCCGACTTGCAGCCGGGCGCTTCGTATTGGGCAACTCAGTTCTGACGCGTTCAAGGGAAAGTGTTTCTCCTAATGGCTCGGCTAGTCCGGACGCTGAGTGAATGGGAAATCCCATCAGTCAGGCAGAGCACGAAGGGTTGGAAGCTGCGGATGAAGAAGCTTTCTTAAAGGGGACACAACTCTACCATTTCTCCATCGTGCATCTCCCCTTCATTTATTTAAGGAGGAACGAAGCTCTGCAGGAATGAAGGCAGAATCGCTTTGTGGCGGAGTAATATATTTCACGACTGTCAGACAACACAGTTGACGTTCGTCGTATGGGAAATTCATCATTGCTTTCCACAGTCATTGACTAAGATGATCCACAGCTTTCACAATTATGACGTAATGGAACCCTCATAATGACGTACATCCCATTCTATAGCAGTCAAGTTCGCAATGCGTGACAAGGATGGACAATCAAACAAATATGAACCCAGGAGGATATTTCATTATCATAGACTCGTAAAAACCACTATCAATGACTAATGTAAGCTCAATATCAATAACCAACTATTTCATAACATACTTAAATAATAATGTGGAAGGCTGAGAATCTACATATATGACCGATCAATCAGTGAATTTCACTTATAGGTTTCAATTTCAAAAAAGAAAAAACACAAGTAAACAATAAGAAATACGATGACGATTTGATCCGATAGCACAGACTAAGCCCTTTTACGGTTTATTTTGACGACCTTGAAATTCTGTGCTGCTACAGGCACATCAAACGAAATAGTATTTGTTACTGATGTTTGCAGGAAGGAGAGTTCATAAAAAATTTGAACGAAGTGACGGGGTTCACCTCCTCTTCTCAAGTTGCACAGAAGGTGAGCATACTTCTTTCTCGTTATAAGAATGAGAGAAAAAATATCAAGTGACGAAAACGCTGTGTGCTCATTCTCCCTACCAGGCGAAGCTTTTATACCTACAGATCCAATCCAGACCGATTCGACTAACAGCGACTGGTTTTTTCGACGTGAATAGGGGTCTCGCAGTCTCGGTAAGCCTTTGGCATCTCTGATTCCGTCAATTATTCAATGGTATTATTATGATCTATTATTATTATTAATGCTGTTATTAACTAATCTTCCTATGTTGGCGTTCATTTCACTCAGACGGTGTGCTTTTCATTTCAGGTGATGGGTACGATCGTGACTTACTTGGTGGTGCTGCTGCAGTTTCGCTTGGAGGGTCTAGGCTCAGGCGACGAAAATAAGGCACCGGGATGACTGCTTCTATGATATAATCTATAGACTTGGCTTGATTCGTGAAAGGCTGCTTCCAAAATAAATCCCTCTGACGAAGGTTCTCATGCATTCATCACATCGATCCTGGATTGGAGGAGGGGGAGAGAAAGAGCGGAAGGGGGGAACGCGCAGAATGTGGAACGTCAATGCAGATTCCACCACCCCGTGATGATAAAAGACATTCATTCATTTTCAATGCCGCTTATTCTAGCTTAATGGGGTCGCTACTCGAGCACGCGAAAGAATATTCTCCAGCGTTCTCTATCATGAACAATGAAGTTAAGCTCAGCAATTGGAAAATCTAGTCTCTAGGGGTAAACGCGAGGACTACCGACTGGACTGGACTGGAGTGCAACCCATCGACAAGGTTGCAAGCTGTCGATGCCGATATCCTAAGCAGGGGCAGCACAAAAAAAATTATGTGAGCGTGTGAACGCAGCTAGGCGTCCGCCCTCTTGTCTCGCTGAAAACCACACCTGAGGGCTTCTCCCAGACAAAAATATCGATCGGACTATATTTCAAAAAGAAACGCTCTTTCTGATTATATCTATTGCCCCAGTACAGGGGCAATAAATAAAAAACTAACCACTGACGAACACAGACAGACAAGCTGAAAAGGACTAAAAGTGGTCTATCGTATTAAGAAAGCTCACTGGTACCACATGGCTTCCACATAAGTCTATTTGAATCAGTATGCGATTTCGTGTTATTTCTTCTTCGATCTAAAGACCACAATCGGCTCCAGTACTGACATTTCAGGCAAAATGCAAATTTTTTTGGAATATTTTCCATTCCCCTTTTCTCCATCCTATGTACCATCCTCTGCATTGGAGTGTCCCTGGTCAGATTCACATCGGTAGACAAGTGTGTGAAGAAAGTTCAGCTCTTACCACGAGGCATCTGGTAGGAAGTGTTTGGACAGAGAGTGGAAAGTACTAGAGGCTCATTCTGAATACGTCAAGGAATGATTCGCTACACCAGCGACTTAGACGCCATCTCGTCTTCGGTCGCGGGGGCCTTCTCGGGGAGCTCAATCAGGACCAATGTCTGAGAGACATTCCCATTCACTAATATACATCTCCAGGCAACGTTGGAACACGGGACTGATATTACGCTACAATCGCCGAAGTTGTTGAGTCAAATGTATGGTGTTAGATTGGGGTGAAGCAGACAGAAAAAACGGACACATCGGTGAGCCAAGATTGGATCACCAATCAACGTTGCGTCCATTTGACACCTTTGGGTCTACTTGAATCCAACATACTGTGCTATATGGGAGGCTTAAAGCGGCGTTGACACAGAAAACTCCAAGAACAGCACAGGGGTGTGCAACCTTTATAGGCAGTGAGCCGCATGGAAATGTCTGACTTCATGTGGGTCATAAAATGCAAAAGAAAAGGCTTCCCTCTTTTGCCCTCAGGAATATGAGGGCATGAAGTCGCTCTGATTGGTCGACAACCCTTACCTCTGTCCCACACCTAAGAATTTCCAACGGCCAAATATAGCCTCTGGCATCGAGAACTTCCTTTCCTCGAGACATGTCTCACCGCCCGTATGAGGAATAATTAGGGGAAGGAAGTGAAAGGACTCAGTTTACTTCTAGTTACAAAGGAATGACCACAATGTGATTGGACCGCAAAGAAACTTATTTTATCTGTTATCCCATTTTCATTCCCGGGCCTCAAGAAGCAGGTCCACAGGTCACATGCCGCCTGCGGGGAGTGGGTTGCACATCCCTGGTCAAAAGTACGGACTCGCACGATATTACTCACCAGATTCGTTTAACTTCAAACTGATTCGCTTTCATAGTGGGCGTCTATGGGAATAAGATTATCTTGTTAAACTGATTCTCATAGGGGACCATTGTGAGATCAGATTATTTTAACTTAAGCGGATCCGATGCATGTCACCCTTTATCTTCGAAGATTAGTTTAAGAGAGAAATAAACTAATTTCATTTAGTGCATGTCACAAATCAGTTTAACGATGAGTTCAACTCATTCCTAAACATGTTTGCCTGGAATCAGATCAGTTTAACTCCTAAACCGATGTGGTGCATGTCACCCTATATGTGGACAATGAGATAGAGGTGAGGTACTCTCTATCAGGCAGTGGAGATGCTGAGGGAAGGGCAACTGGCTCGATTTTCAAAGACATTTCTCACTCTTCAAATACCGCTATCTGAAGTGGATGTTTCCACACATACTCAAAACGACAGATAGGGCGTGAGCGGCAGTCTTTATTTTAGTCTCATCCCAAACGGATCTCTGTGACTTCCAGGTGTCTCTCGAATTATTCATCAGTGGGGAATGACATGAAGGGTCTTCGAGGTGGAAGTAGTGGAAAACTCCTCAGGCTTTTTCTCCCGTTGGGATATTTGGGAAAACTCATTGGAGTTCTTCCCATCCAAAATGTGAGAGATATCGGTCGAAATCCGAATTCAGAATTCCGATGGTGTACATTGGCGTTTCTCTATAGCGTTTTTTCCACTCCAGCAATCTTGACCCTCCATTTCTGGACGATTTTCAAGTATGACAGCAGAAATCAGAGCCCTAATGACACCAACTATGACATAATGCAACCGCAGATCCCTCTCGCAGACGAACTGGCAGGTCTAATCGAGATCGGGATCTACGTTGAATGGGTGATCTGCGTCTACATCTCCTCGATCTGGAACGCACGGAAGTTTCCCCACTTCTTCAATGGACTTCACGTTTACTTGAAGAGACGTGAAACCGATGGACGGGCATACAGACGTTGCCGAAATGTCATTGTCTTCCTCATTACTGTAATCGTGCTTGTTTTGATCTTCTTCATAAGCACATTCGTTTTTTCTCTCCTACAAGTGAAAAACTTCACTTTTTCCGAACTAATCACAACCTTCGTCTTATTCCTGTATTCCTACGTATATTATATAATACCCTTCATTCCGGAATTCCAATGGATTTTTCTCTGCGTCCTTCTCGCTGAGTTACTTCGGTGTGAAGCTTCGGATATCTTGGAAGGATTGAAAACAGCAGGCAGACCAAAGAATGTCAGCAATAGTACTCGGCTCTTTCAAGGAGCAAGCAAATTCCCTCACATCAGCACCCTCAAGTAATGAAATATCCATTGTGGAATCGGAACCAGTAAAATATTATTCCCATGAGAATGTTCTTTAACACAGGGGATCGGTGCTCCAGTCGACACCGATTGCACGAGAATGGGAGATTCTCGAGAATCATCGAGAGGATTACATGAAATTGGGAGAACTGGTAGACGAATTATCCTACGTCTTCAGTCCGACACTTCTGCTGAGTTTCATGAACAGCGTTGTGAGGACGACGGTGACGGTGTACATAGCGTCAGTAAATCTCTCGAATGGCTCTCAGCAGTGGTTGAACGTCATGATGAGGACTGGGGATGTTTTCGGATCCCTCATTCGTCTCCTCCTCATCACCATTGCCGCTTCGTATCTATCTGACAAGGTACCGTTTATTGATCGATTGATTGAAAAAGAAAGATTTTAAAGGGAAGGAGACAGCCGTGATCAACACACGAATGCTGCTTGCGAGATGGAAAGCATTTGGAAAATAATTTTCAGGTATAACGGTTGCCTGAATAGCCCTTGATAACTGTTGATGACTGCATAATATAAGTTAACTCTTGACATCCTGAGGCTGACACGGGTGCATCTTGGACTCACCCAAGACTAATTCACATTGATCTTTCCTACTACCAGTATGCCTTTAGATAGGTTTCAGAGTGATTCGTGTCAGCGTGTACTCGAGTGAAGTTTGAAATCTTTCAAACTCATAACGAGTGCTAGTGAGTGCTAAAGAGTGTTAATAAGTATTCATAATGGCTCATTCGGCACAGCAACGTTGTGTCAACATTAATAAAAGGTTGAAATTTTGAGACATCCACATATAAATATGTTCTATCAATCGGCACGAGATGACGCCTAAACGCTGGTTTAACGATTCTCACCCTGGTGCCATTGTAATGAGTCCTCTGTATGTTTCATATAGTCCCAGATCGTTTCCTACGTATAACTTAAAGGAAGGCTTTGGAATTTCTAGATAGACCCGTTTAAGGTGGTAACCCGGCAGGAGACACCTACCCAAGTAACACAGTATGTTGATGAAACGGTTTGGATGTCTGAGTAGAGAGGTAAAGTATATGGTACGAAAGGATAAAATAAAGACTGCCGCTCACGCCCTATCTGTCGTTTTGAGTATGTGTGGAAACATCCACTTCAGATAGCGGTATTTGAAGAGTGAGAAATGTCTTTGAAAATCTCATTTACACATCGATGCAACATTGTTCATCAACATTTCCTAAACGTTGCTGGAATATCTTGTGTTACTTGGGTTTTCTTGATAGCACCTATGCATGGATGTGATGCTCTGAACATTTTTTGCCGAAGTATGTATGCTATTGCATCTGCAGCCATGTTAAATTGGAAGCTTTTGGAACTGGAATTGGAACCTACTATAGAGGAGCATTTTTGGGTTCAGCAAAGGATCACCTTCGAAAAGTATTTATTACATTATACTTGGTTATAAAGCTAAAGCCTCTGTTTTGGGCACAACACATTTGCCTTTGCAAAAACTTGTATAGCTTAATAACAATTCCAAAATTAATTAATGTCAATTAATTGTATGTGCTTTTTGTGTTGTATCATCAGGCTCTTCACCATCCCGAAAAAATCTTGTATAATAAATGAAAGTGATCACACATAGTCTTACAGCACTTTTTTTCTAAATATAATTTCTCTGGGAAATACCCTAGAATGTCGTGATCATCCGTTGGCAATACGAATGTCTCAAGGCCCAGAAACACTTGGAGAGTTCTTACTGGCTAGTTCCAGTTAGGATCATTCTACGTCACAGCAACGTTGTGTCAACATTGAGTAGAGTTGGTTGTTGGTTGGTAGGTTGATTTATCAATGTTAAAGTGTTGGAAGGAGATGTATGAGCATGAGTGTTCTAGGACTCCATGTAAAGAGTTAACTTATATTATGCAGTCATCAACAGTTATCAAGGGCTATTCAGGCAACCGTTATACCTGAAAATTATTTTCCAAATGCTTTCCATCTCGCAAGCAGCATTCGTGTGTTGATCACGGCTGTCTCCTTCCCTTTAAAATCTTTCTTTTTCAATCAATCGATCAATAAACGGTACCTTGTCAGATAGATACGAAGCGGCAATGGTGATGAGGAGGAGACGAATGAGGGATCCGAAAACATCCCCAGTCCTCATCATGACGTTCAACCACTGCTGAGAGCCATTCGAGAGATTTACTGACGCTATGTACACCGTCACCGTCGTCCTCACAACGCTGTTCATGAAACTCAGCAGAAGTGTCGGACTGAAGACGTAGGATAATTCGTCTACCAGTTCTCCCAATTTCATGTAATCCTCTCGATGATTCTCGAGAATCTCCCATTCTCGTGCAATCGGTGTCGACTGGAGCACCGATCCCCTGTGTTAAAGAACATTCTCATGGGAATAATATTTTACTGGTTCCGATTCCACAATGGATATTTCATTACTTGAGGGTGCTGATGTGAGGGAATTTGCTTGCTCCTTGAAAGAGCCGAGTACTATTGCTGACATTCTTTGGTCTGCCTGCTGTTTTCAATCCTTCCAAGATATCCGAAGCTTCACACCGAAGTAACTCAGCGAGAAGGACGCAGAGAAAAATCCATTGGAATTCCGGAATGAAGGGTATTATATAATATACGTA